CCCCCCCCTGCTCGACAGCAGCAGCCCTTTGATCTTTTTGATCGCAGCTTCATTGCTGAGGCTCATTCCTGAATCTCCTCTCTCCGAAACAGAACCAACTCAACTCAAGTGACATGGCTAAGATCGCGATCGTCTACTACTCCACCTACAACCACGTCTCGACGATGGCCGAGACCATCAAGAAGGGCATCGAGTCTGTGGAGGGCGTTACTGCCGAGATCTACCAGGTGGCCGAGACATTGCCCGAGGAGCTGCTGGCCCAGATCCACGCTGCGCCCAAGAAGGACTACCCGATTGCCACCCCGGACACCCTGAAGGAGGCGGACGGTATCCTGTTCGGCTTCCCCACGCGCTTCGGCTCGCTGCCTTCGCAGATGAAGGCGTTCTTCGACTCGTGCGGCGGTCTGTGGGCTACTGGTGCTCTGGTGGGCAAGCCTGCCGGCATTTTCTTCAGCACGGGCACCCAGGGCGGCGGCCAGGAGACCACGGCTTTCACGACCCTGACGTTCCTGACCCACCAGGGCATGACGTACGTTCCCCTGGGCTACCGTGCTTCCGAGCTTTCTAACATGGACGAGATCCATGGGGGATCTCCGTGGGGTTCCGGCACCCTGGCCGGCGGAGACGGCTCTCGCCAGCCATCCAAGCTGGAGCTGGCGGTCGCGACCACGCAGGGCAAGTCTTTCGCCGAGATTGCTAAGAAGCTGGCCGCCTAAGCATCGCCTGTATTGTATTAGCAGCGCGTGTGCAAACATAATAGCGTACCAGAACTAGAGGCGAGTGAGTCTGTGGGTTGTGCTGCGCGGATGTAGCAGCACCCAAGCCGCTTACCATTCTGGAGCAAATCAATATAGCTCACGTTTTGTTGCTTGTATTTACTGATCCATTGGTGTTTGTGTAGTGCTGTAATATTAATACATGTAAGTAAACATAGTGTTTTAAAGAGCGCATTCGATGGTGGTGCGTCCGTGCCATAGCGGTCTTGCAAGCGCACAGTGGTGATTGGAAATTCATTAAGTGCTCGTTCAAGTAGTATTTCGTGCCCCCAAGTCGGAAGTTGCAA